TTTGTAAAACCTCTTGAATTAAAGCTGGAAGGTTGCACTTCAATCACATCTCGGTGGTTTGATTTAAAACCCATGTGTGGTGGTGTACAGAGGCTCATAGCTGACTATGAGAATGTTACAGTACCATGCTGATGGTAGAATTTAGCTCAAAGCATCATTTCCACAAAGTACAGCCCCCCACAGCTGCTACTTGAGTTCTTATTTTCTAGTTTATCAAAAGTGTCACCTCTTGTAGATTTTAGTTAAAAGAAATCATGTGTGCAGATGACTTCTCATGAGGTAAAGAGGTATAATGAAGTGGTAGGAGAACTCTTTCTTCCAGTCAATCAAAACAGCATGATCCGGTATTATCCTGCAAGCCTGCCTGGGAAGGCTCTGATTAGTCCTGCCTGAGGAGCTACATTAATATGAGTCTAATAGCCATGGATAAAACTGACTTTAATTCCTGAACAGTTAATAAAAATGCAATTAAAACACCTTGAATAAAAGCTGAAAGTCGTCACTTCGATCAAATCTGGATTGTGCGATTTAAAGTAAACTCTTGTGGCGTACAAAGGCGGAACTACAAAAACTGAGCCTTTCCTGAGTAAATTATTATTCATGAACTCAGCTAATTCAATCTGAAAAGACCTGTGATTGGCTGAAGTCTCCTGTCACAGCCTAGACCTTCAAAAACCTGAAAGCAGATCCCATGTTCTTTCTCAGACCAACTGCATTGCAATACAATATAAGGTCATAATGATTTTTTAAATCCTAGTGACACCAAATTATATTACCAACCAGTTACTAACAATCATGCAATTCATTAAAACATTTAAACTTACCAGCTTTGTTGCTAAATGTTTTCAGCTGCTGATTAAAACACAGTTGGTGCTTGTTAATAGGATCAATATATTTTTGGTTTTGGCATTTTTGTGGGCTATTATAACAACTATGATTATTCAAAAATATTTATCCAAATTTGAAAAAAAAATATCTAATCGTTGAAATCTCTGTAGACTACTAAATTTAAACTACCTGTGTAAAAATGATGGTGAAGTGTGCTTGATCTTAATTTAGATGCACAATCAAGACACTTTGCTTTTGTGAAGGGCCATGTAGGGTAGCAGTCCTCAGTGGCAGTTGCTCAACATCTGTAAGTTATTATCTGCGAAAACAAAATATCAGTAAAAAATAATCAGCAGTAATAATAATGACATTTGGCAGATGACAACAACCACAATGCAAAAACACAAATGCTGCTACCAATACTTAGATGTACAATAATAAATGTGATGCCTAATAATGTGCAATGTGAATAGGCAGCATTGCTTGGGAAAAGCAGTATGCGTGTGATTTAATTGGATCAAGATTTGCTTTTAAAAAAAGAACCCCAAAAATGTTGTTAAAGGCAAAGTACAAGTGTCACAAAGAGGGCGACAGGCTGTCACTTGACAAATGAAATGAATATTTGTGTTGGATTCATAAGTGGAGAGGCTGGTATTTCGGTTGTGTGGTCTCAAGTTACATTAGTGATAATTATTTCTGTTATTTATTCTTTGCTAATAGCAAAAACTTCTGCAAAAAAATGCTAAGGAAGTAGCATTTTAGGTAGGTCGTATAATAATAAGCTCGTTCGGTCTTCATGTTGAAGTATCATAGTGCGAGA